TGTTTCCTAGGTAATGTTTGAAATAAAAACACCACCATTTCCCCTTAATATTTAAATTATGGTATAAAAGGTGAAGGTATCTGGAATTTGTTAAGGTCCATCACAACAAGTTTACTTCCTTTAGGTCAAAAGAGAGAGTCTTAAGTTTAAGCCTGGTCCTGGATAGAGATCTGATTTTCTATGCTAGCAAAAATATTCATCCTATTATCTCCTTCTTTTAAGAATTAATTTAACTGACCTACTAATCACCTGACCAGGAACCTATTGTTGGTAATCAGGTATCTCCACCCACCACCTGCCCCAGGGAGACAATAGCAACAGGCTGTATCATCACCAGCCTCCAAGATTCAACACATTCCCATTGTCCCATGAGTGAGTTGCATATCCTCCTCTTATGAAAGGCCAGTCCCTCCACCCTCACTGAGAGGGAGCCTGTTTATACTCCTCACCGATAAAGCTCCCACAGGAGATTTGTTTCATCCTGTATGTATCCTGTATGTATCCTGTATGGCATCTGCTATATAGAGTATAACTCTTATCCCTTTCCTGCTAAGGAAATCTGATTTACCTGAAAGACTAAGTTTTCTTTGGGGGTTGGCCACAGGGAGTTTGACCACACTCCAGGGAGTGTATAGATATCACAAATTGGACTATGTTTTCATTCTTTCCTTTTTTCTTTTATTCATTAATTAACTTATTTATTTGTCTATTTGGAGGGGAGTGGGAAGAGGTCACAGAGGTTTAGTGGCTGGGAGGTGGGTGTGATTGCATGGGGTGCATGATGTGAAATTACAAAAAAAATAAAAGTGTTATCATGAAAAAAGAGAGATTTTGTGTTTCTCCTTGCCAACAGCTTACAGTTGTTTTTTTTAATTTTTCTTAATATTTTTTATTTTTTTATTTTTTATTTTATTTTTATTTTATTAGTACTGTGGTGGCTCTGCCTTGTTGCCTGTAGGCATTTCTAAATGATACTCAGAAGACAAATATCTCCTTCTCTCTCTCTCTCTCTCTCTCTCTCTCTCTCTCTCTCTCTCTCTCT